AAGGCGATGATGATAGCCAGGGCCTTCTTGTCGTGTATCGGGTAGTTGAGTTCTGCCCCGTGTAATTTTTTGCTGAGGTAGGCAATTGGTTGCAGTCCATTCCCGTGGTCTTGCATCAGGACTGCTCCCACTGCCTGGTCGCTGGCGTCAGCTTCGATGATGTAGTCACGTTCGGGGTCTGGCAAGATGAGTACGGGTGCGGACGTGAGTGCTTGTTTCAGCTGTTCCATGGCTTTTTGATGTCTTGGTTCCCAGTTATAGGGCGTGTTCTTCTTCAGCAGATTCGTGAGTGGCGTTGCGATCTTCGCGTATTGTGGCACGAACCTGTTGTAGTAGTTAGCGAAGCCTAGGAATTGCTGTAACTCCTTTATGTTCTCAGGTGTTTTCCACGTACGCACGGCTTTGATTTTCTTGGGGTCGACATGAACTCCTTGAGCGCTTATGATATGTCCGAGGAATTGAACTTTCTCGAGGGCGAAGTCGCTCTTGGATAGTTTGACGTAGAAGCGTTCTCGTCAAAGAATCTTGAAGACGCGTCGTAGGTGTTTGACGTGTTGTTGCATGTCGCGCGAGTAGACGAGGATGTCTTCTAATTACACCACACGCATTCATCCAAGAGTCGGCGTAGGATGTGGTTCATCTCTGCTTGGAACGTTGCAGGTGCATTGGTGAGTCCGAACGGCATTACCAGATACTCGTACGATCCGTACCGAGTTCGGAAGGCAGTTTTGTGAACAGAATTGTCCGCCATTCGTATCTGCCAGTATCCGGACCGCAGATCTAGTTTTGAAAATACCGTGGCTCCCTGAAGCTGGTCAAGCAGATCATCGATTCGTGGAATCGGGTACTTGTTCTTGATGGTCTGCTTGTTGAGAGCCCGGTAATCGATGCACATGCGCAGGCTTCCGTCCGGTTTCGATGTGAAGAGTACCAGGGCACCGTACGGTGAAGTGGATGGTCGGATGAGTCCTTTGGTGAGGAGATACTCGATCTGTTTCTTCATGTCGGCTAGTTCTGTGGGCTTAGCCGATATGGTGCTCGGAAGGTCGGTTTCAAACCTGGTTCCTCCACGATCTCATGTTGGTGCGTTCGGTATCGCGGTAGCTCGTCGGGGAGGTCGTCGGGAAGAATGTATTGGAACTCCTTCAATATTTTCTTGATTTCTCTTGGAGGTTCTGAGGTCTTCTCCTCGTCCCTTTCACGTCTGTTGCTAACACCAAGAACCCAGTGTTGGTTTGTTTTCACGTCCTTCTCGAACCTGGCGAATGTCTCTACTGGGATATCTCGTGTATCGTCCCAGTTGGCTAGCTGGACTCTCCTTGCTTTGTTGTAGATGCTTGCGGTGCGGTTTACCCAGTTGATCTCGAGGTTGAATTTCTTGAGGAAGTCTCGCCCGAAAGATCAGGTCAAGCCCTTTTATGTTGGTGATGGGGAGAGCAGGTTTCCACGCAGTGGCCCGATTTGTAGGTGTAGCACTGCTTCGCCGTACACGGTAACTTGCTGCCATCCCATCATTGCAGAAAACGCTGATGGCTTGTACTCTTCTCGAAGTCGGTCGATGGTTGCCTTGTGCATACGGTGTGCGATGCTCCGCTGTCCACGAGTGCTTGGAGGCGTCGTCCTTTGCAGATGACCTCGAGCACGAGGGGCAGGCGTTGCTCGGAGTACCCAAAGATAGTTTCATTGATTGGGTCATAGGGTACATCCCAATATTCGTTGCTTCCTACTCCTGAGCTGGTAGCTGGCCAGGCTGCTTGGAGAAAGGCTCTTCTCCAGGCCCGGAGTTTCCGTGACGACTGTTCGTGTCGTTGACAAATTGCCGAGTTGGATGCATCCGAAGAGGAGTTGGGGTTTTTGCAGCTTCTTGTAGACCCCCAGCTTCCTCTTGAGCTGCTTCAGCTCCACCGACGTCTTCCCTGGGGAACGGGTAGTCGCTGTGGGCTGGTGTCGGGAGAGGACGTTGACTCCGTGGAAAGGTCGGCTTCTTTCCACACTCCTTAATTTGGTCCCCAAGTCTCGGTACCGGTATGATCTCCACAATTTTCTGCTTTTTGGAGTCCCTCCCGAAATTTCTCCAAGGCTCTAGCCCTCGAGAATTCAAGTTTTCATTAAAGCATCTTTATAAGATAACTTTAACGAATCCTTATAATTTCTTGGGTCTTCAAGGAGTTTCCCGTCTGGCAGAGTCTTTTTTCGCGGAGTTAGATTTTTCCTCGGCGATTTCCCTGGCGAAGACTGGTCGTGGGGTGGAGATTTTCCCCATCATTTCTCCTGTTTCGCGTCGAATCAGCTTCGTCGAAGTTGATTTTTCCGGAATCCGCGGCCGCTTTCGGATCTTTTTTTTTCGCCAGCTAGATCCGCAATCACTGGCGAGTCCCGTTTTTTGTCTTCTGATTGGCCGAAGGATTTCCGCCACTGTTGCGTGCCCGATACTGCGCGTGCGGCTTTCATTTTGTTGCAGTCGAAGATTCGATGACCCGGCACCCCGCAAAAATCACACGTGTAGTTGGTGTTTTTCGGACGTGGCCGCCCCTCGAACCTGTCGACTTCCATCGGGTCGGCGAACGTGGTGTGAGCCGAGCGGTCGCCCTGTCGCGTACTGCCGACGTGCGTCCGTCGTGTTCCGGCGTTGACCATGTCGAAGCGCTCCGCTGCCGAACGACGTCACTGTAGCTCGCGTAGTTTGTCGCTGCACTTGTCGTTTGACTTCGGTCTTCAGCCCGGCGAGGTACGACTGTACTTTTTCCCCTTCGGTCAGGTCGGGAATGCGGTTATAAAATTCCTCCATCTGCTGCGTGTACTGCGCTACACTCCCGAACTGTCGATGGCGATGAATTTTTTCCGGGCAAGGAAACCGAATTTATCGGCTCGAACGTTTCAGCAGGTCGGTGCGGAACTGCTGCCACGTGGCTTCCCGTGGATGAAGGTGCTGTTACCGCCAATCCACTCGAGTGCCGGCCCTCGCATCAGTGTCGCCGCGAGTCGTACGCGTTGACCGTCCCAGACTGGCGAGCTCCATCCGACGGCTGCGAAGTAGATCTCCATGCCGGCGATCCATCTGCGGCGTCGGATTTCGATCGCTCGGATCGAACGGCTCAGGTGGGCGCGGTTTCGGAGCCTCGAGAAACTGCTGCGACTGCTGCGTCGTCGCCGTTGTCGTTTCGTGTTGCGCTGGCGAGTCGAGTTACTCGCTCGAACTCTTTCGCCAGCGTCGCGATGGCTCGCATCTCCTCCTAAGGGCTGCGATGCGCGAAGAGCTGCTGGGTAACTCGGCGTTGTCGAAGTTGCCATCCTGTTCAAAACACGCGGAGGGGGTAATTCGAAAAACGCGGAGCTGGTGCTTACCAGAATCGGCGTCGAATTGGTCGCCCCCGGCGGTTTTTCGGGCAGGATCCCGCTGCTGCTGCTTAGCTGAGCGGCCGAGTGAGAAAAGCTCTGATTACCAAGTGTCACAGGATCGAATGTGTCGAGGAAAGGTTGCACTATCGATGATACAAGGCGCTTTTATACTTCCAGAGTACATCAGGTAACCAGGTTTATCTATCCAAGGGAATAGACCCTTCTAGAAAATAGAATCACCCTGCGTATAGCCACGCGAGGCTATTGGCTTTAAGGGATTACGGCAGGATTACGCTAGATATAGCGCCCAGTACATCCCGAGCCTGGTCGGTGATATAATGATAATAACAGGATAAACCAAAGGTTTATGGAAAAGGAGGAATAGGAATCCAAATGGAATGAGATAAAGACCAAATGAATCAGGATAAAAAGAGGAATGAAATGGAAAGGGAATATGGAAAGGAGAAAGGAATGGAACGGGGTCGTACTCTCATAACTGTCAAGGACAAAGTCCAATGTGGTGGAAGGGGAGGATGTAAGGAAGGAGGTGGGACGGAGTACTGAATCACATTCTCATTAATAGCAGCCGAATACATAGAAGGGACAGGGTTCCAACCTGACTAACCATGCCAACAAAACCAGTGGCCTGTGGCGGAGGACGCAGGAGACGCGCCGGAGAGATGAGCTGCCGGCGGTCCAGGCGGGATAGGGCTGCTATGGGGAGCCATAGGAGGGGGTGCAAGGGGGAGCTGCGACTGGAGGTCAAGCTGCTGCTGGAGCTGCTGGAGCTACTGCTGCTGCAACTGGGTGAGGAGGTACTGCTGCCTCTGCTGCTGCTGCTGCTGTTGGAACTACTGCTGCTGCTGCTACGGCTGAAACTGCTGCTGCTGAGTCTGCTACGGAGTCTGCTGCTACTGCTGCTGCTGAGAGATGGCCTGGTGGGCTAAGGGGAGGAGCCGGGTTGGTAGAGAGGGAAGTACAAACCTCCTGAGGAGTGGGCGAGGAGAGAGGGAGGACCAGCGAGGGGGTGCCGGAATTGCCGCGTGTGGGGCCATAGAGAGGGAGACACTGACAAGGAGGAAAGGCGGCTGCTGCACCACGTCCTGCGCCACTAACACCACGACCACCACCACGACCAGCGCTACGCCCACCCCCACGCCCTCCCCTGCTGTTGCGCTGGTGAGTAACCATGGCGGTGGAGGAGAATGGCACAAGAGGTTGGGCCTCCAGTGGTGATGATCCACTGGGCGGCCTCAGCCGGGATAATGCGCTTTCGATCAGCTGCATGTAGGGCGATCTTGTGGGTGTCGAAGGAGGATTCAAGCCTTCAAGGAGGTGGGCAGCAAAGCACAGGGATTGGGTATGGCACACAAGAGCTGCCAGATGACGAGCGAGGTCGAGGGCGTGACGCGTGAAGGCAACTGCGCCGGTGGTAGAGTCCTTGGTGAGGCTCTGAAACTTCTTGATGGGGGAGTAGAGGGCTGGCGACGTCCTGCCAATTCATAGAGATTGGTGAGGAGCCGCCGGAGGTTGGAGGAGGAGGTGGGAGCAAGCTCCCGCTTGAGCGTGGGAGGAATGGTGGCGAGGAGGATGGTGAGCGCGCGCCGAGCAGCGACACACCAAGGCGGCGATGTCGGTGATGTATGTGGCCTCAAGCCTGGCGTACTCCGTGAGCGTTGCCTAGTACATGTCGTAGGCGACAATGGCGATGGCATGCTCGGCGCGGGAAGCCTCGTAGATCAGCTACGGGCGGACATGGTTGGTGAGGCCGGCGCGGTAGGTGCGGATGGCAGTCATCAAGCTCTGAGGGTCGTTCACGTCATGGGCGAAGGTTGGAGGGCCGGAGCTGACAGGAGCATCACCAGGAGGAGGAGGTGCAGGGCACGCGGGAGCATCCTGCTGGGCAGGCTGAAGACCGCGCTCCTCGAGATGGACAACGGCTTTCGGATTGTAGCCGTTGACCATCACCGAGGAGAGAAGCATCGTGACCGTTTGGGCATAGGAATGCCAATTGGCCGCGGTGTTTTCGGGCAGCGGCTCGAGAGTGTCCACGGAGGTGAGATCCGCCGAGGAATCGGACGCCATTTAGGTGGGGGGGGAAGAAAGGGGAAGACAAGGAAAAGGAAAGGAGGGGGGGAGGAGGAGGAAAAGCAGGAGGAGGGGGGGGGGAGGAGGAGGAGGAGGGGGAGGAGGAGGAGGAGGAGGAGGAGGGAGGAAATGGGTAGGTGCACGAAGCGCAGCTCTTAAGTCGCCGAAGGCGAGACGAGCTGCGCAACGCGCTCCAAGGGGGGATGCGACGACGAGCAGCAAGACGGGAGGGCGCGACGAACGGTTGCGCGCGACGGCAAAAGCGGCAACAAACTGCCACACACAACAGTGGAAATGGCGACGGACGGCCGCGCGTGACGGCGGAAGCGGCGACGAACGTCCGCGCGTGACGGCGGAAGCGGCAACGAACGGCCCGCGCGCGAAGGCGAAGGGTGCATATCGGGAGGGCACGGTGACAGGCCGTGCAAGGAGGAATCGACGGGCGGAAAGGTGTCGACAAGTGCGGCAGGAGGTGCGCGACGGAAGGGGGAGCAGGCGCAATAGAAGGCGCGCGACGGGAGAGCGCGACAGGAGAGCGCGGCGGGAGAGGGCGCACGGACGGCGCGGTGTGTAGCCTAAGCAATGGCTAGGCTTCGAGGACGAGGAGGGACGGCTTAGGGCCGTGCTAGTTAGGATCGACTAGAGGTGGCGTGAGCCATTGTGGCTCTGATTACCATGAAGGAACTAGCTTTGAGGAGAAATGAATGAATTGAGTAGGGAGCCAAGAGGCTCTATTGTACAAACAAAGAGCCAAGAAGAGTTGGAAGGGAAGCTCTCCTATTGGCTATAAAGTGGACCAATGGGAGAGGTTGCTTGGAGAGCAAGCAACCACAAAGTGTGGTGATCTCCGATTGGTCAGAATGTGGACCAATGGGAGAGGTTGCTTGGAAGGCAAGCAACCACAAAGTGTGGTGCTTCGTGATTGGTTGGTTCTTAGGACCATTTGGTTGGAATAGTGCCAATCAAATATCTAGGACCAACCCAAATGTGGGGTTGGTCAAACCAACCAACAACCCCCCAATAAAGATAATGACTACACCTCCTAATCTAGGCATGCATATTGTATATATATACATATTGTACAACAACGGTAGCACAAGGTCTTGTAGCGTAGGGTAGCCTACTTTTTTTGTTTTAGAGACACTTATGTTTTCTCAGCAAGCCTCTAGATACTATAGGATTCAAAGTACTCTTTCTCATAAGGGTAATAGACTGCTGCCACTTTTTCTGCTAAGGTAGAATTTGGAGCTACTTTTTAATATAAGGATCCTCAAAAGCATGACTTTTTTCAAAAGGGTGTAACTCAATGGCAGCCTTACACTATCGGGGCAGCATCCCGCATGGGGGGGCTTGAGGGCGCGTTTACCCTTTGGCACAAGTTTGGCAATTTGGCGCACCAGGGGTTTGTGTATGCGATATTACTACATTGAACGACCCCAACCAGACGACTGGACCTGGTCACAACCTTTGTTGTGACATTCAAAGTGTGGCTCCATGTGCAGTTCCAGGGCAAAGAGCTCGCCCGTTAAATCACAAGGTTGCACGATCGGAGCTTGTGCTCGCCGGCGCCCACACCATTGGTTGTGAAGTGGGCAGTGTAACCATTCTCTGGTGGGACAAACAGTTGTTTGTGCAGTTTTGTCATGTTGATGAACCGACGTGACGACGCACCCTAGGCCTCTCTGCGGTCTCGACAGTGTGCACCAAAAATTGTTGTTCGCCAGCCGCCGAGGTGCGTAGGGGGAGGGGAGAATTGCAGGGCGAAATGTGACGTGTCACTTGCTAGGCTTTCTTTTCGTCCCGTCATTCTAGGGCACCGGTTAGCTATGTGCCCAAGCCTGATTGGACTTCCAAATTCTTTGGGGTTGCGAGGAGTGTGGGAGGGTTTGTCTCTGCCAATGGGGGACTTCGTCTTATTTTTAGGGTTGCGAGGGATGCGGGAAGGAATGACTTTGGCGGTGGGAGACTTGGACACATTTGTGGGTTGCGAGGGATGTGGGAGGAATAACTCTGGGTTTGGGGAACTTAGCCAAAAAAAATTAGGTTGGGAAGGGAGCATCCATTATAGCGGGGGATCGGATGTGTTATTGTGTAAGGGTGAACTTCCACAACACTTTTCCACAGAAGGGTGCCTACACTCGAGTAGTCTTGAAAATCAGGGTCCTAAACTTTGTTACTTTTGTTTTTTCATAAGGGTGAAGAAACAAGGAACTTAGAAAAATAAGGGTCAAAGCCTTACCCCACCCTTCTTATAAGGGTCGTAAGGGTATTTTACCATTTTCTCGTGAGGCCTGTTTCTCAGTATGCCACGTATATGATGGCACCACATGGTGGACTTGCTTTGCTGATGGCACCACATCGTGGACCTGCTTTGCTTGATGGCACCACATCGTGGACCTGCTTTGCTTATGCACACATCGTGAACCTGCTTTCCTTGATGGCACCACATCGTGGACGTGCTTTGCTTGATGGCACCACATCGTGGATGTGCCTTGCTTGATGGCACCTGCTTTCCTTGATGGCACCACATCGTGGACCTGCTTTGCTTGATGGCACCACATCGTGGACCTGCTTTGCTTGATGACACCACATCGTGGACCTCTTTTGCTTGACACCATATCGTGGAGTTGCTTGCTTGACGAAACCACATCGTGGGCCTGCTTTGTTTGACGGCACCACATCATGGACCTTTTTTTTTATTATGGTACCACATAGTGAGCTTGCTTGGTTTGATGGTACCACATAGTGAGCTTGCTTGGTTTGATGGTACCTCATGATGGAGTTTGCTTTATTTGATGGTACCACATGGAGAGCCTGCTTTGTTTGATGGTACCACATGGTGAGGCTGCTTTGTTTGATGGTACCACATGGTGAGGCTGCTTTGTTGATGGTGCCACATGGTGAGCCCTCTTTGTTTGATGGTACCATAAGGTGAGTTTTGCATGGCTGATGCAAGTCAACGTGAGTCAACAGGGAACAGTCGTAAAATGTTGGCGACAACATAACCTCAAGTGCAAGATCGCCCCCACCTGCCCCCTTTGACGGCACCACTAATGGTGGGGCATTGGGATCATCCCGCAGTTGAGTGTGGGAGGGCTATAGGTCCGTCCTGCCCCCACCTGCCCTCTTTAATGACACCACTCGGTTAGCCTTTAGACAATTGGCGGTGAGTCCAAGCTTGTAAACAAAAGTCAAGAGAAGTCAATGAAGTTTTCGAGAGGCGCATGGCGAGGCTAGGCGAGCAGCAGTGACGGCTCAGGCTAAGGTAAGATTGCTTCGATTGCAGTAGAGGCGACTTTGGAACCAAGGAGCAAAGGATCGCCTCCTCTGCTTTGGTTTGATGGCACCACATGGTGAGTTTCAAAGGGGTCGAGTCAACGCAAGTCACCCAAAGTCAAGAAGGCTCACGAGCAGTGCACCTTCGTGAGCAATGCACCCTCATGAGCCGAGGCTCACGAGCAGTCTGTCATGCTCATTCCCCCCCTCTTTCTTCCTACTACTAGTTTTTAACAGTTGCCTCCCCCTCCTCTTCAATAAACCCCCCAACCCTCCTCCCCGTTTCCAACTCTTTCCCCCACCCGGTGTCTCAAGCCTGTACCATTAACTTCAAGGTGTGAGGGCTTTGGTGGGGGAGGGGAGGAGGGGGGGTCAGGCGTTTGAATCTGGTCAGCAAAGGCTGTACCACTACAAGGCATGTCCCTTTGCACAACGAGTGGTGATTGCTGTTAACTACAAGGTGAGGGGGCTGTCCACCAGTTAAACTTCCGTGTCTCGATTAGAATCTCATATGCGTCTCCTTTCTTTTTTGTACAACATATGACTAATCCGCTCTTTTTATGCCGCCTATCTCTCCCCATGTTAATAGAGTCTGATTTCATCTAGCGAGTGGAGATTCTGCAGCAGGTCTGAAGTGAGTGGTCGGGGAGAGCTTGGATTTTCTACTGCTGATGCTCATCTCATGCTGCTGTTGTTTTGTTGCTGCTGCTGCTGCTGCTGCTGCTGCTGATGTTGCTGGTGTGTTGTGGTTACAGCAGTGGTACCACTCGGGCCTTCCTCTCGCACTCCCACACTCCCCTCACTCCCCACACAAACTATGACAATTACAAACACTCTTGCTTTTGCGGTTGCTGCTTCTAGAATGAACGGTTACCCAAACAATTCCCTTGGCCCCACTCCTCCTCCCCCTCCTATCTATGACAGGTATACAGAGAAGGTGTACGCACCAGGCAAGGTGCCGTCACTGGAGCATATCGCAAGGTGGTGGGAGAAAGCTTGGACCTCTGCTGTTGCTGCTGGATGGCTGGTTTGGCGACAAGGGACCAAGAATTGTGCCTTAGTAAGCACTGGCGTCCAATTATGTGCCACGGGTATGAGACCACTCGATGTGCTTTGCCCTTGCGTATCCGTGACTCACATGCCATGCCTTGACACCATTCTTATTTAAGGCAAGGGCAATTCAGACACAGCATGGAGGAAGGTGCGGGGGAGAGTCTGTATCTACGCTGCTGGATGAGTGCTTCAGCGACAATGGCCAAGAATCATGCCTCTGGTACGCTCTGGCAAGCAGTCACAGTGTATGGGTTGCTAGGGAAGGAAACTCGAAAAGATTTTCGGGAGAGCTTGGTCCTGCTGCTGCTCTGTTGTTCTGTAAGGCAATAAGGGACCAAGGATCGTGCCCCAAGTAATCACTGGTGTCCAGTTGTGTGCTACGGGTATGGGGAAAAGAGTCAACATAGAGCGAAGGTGGGGGGGAAGGTCTGGATCCGCTGCTGCCACTGGATGAATGGTTCAGAGATAAAGAGGGCAAGGATCCTACCGCGGTGAGCATTGGTACCCAGACATTCGTGCCACGCGATACTGTAGAACGGAGTTACGAAAGATAGGTGGCGGGGGAGAGACTGAATCTGCTGCTGTTGCTGGATGAATGGTCCGGAGGTAAGGGAGCAAGAATAAATCTCAGGTAAGCATTGGTACCCAGACATTTGTGCCACGGGATACTGTAGAATAGAGTTACAAAGATAGGTGGTGGATCTGCTGTTCCTGCTGGTGAATGCTTCGGAGATAAGGGAGAAGGGATCCTACCTCAGGTGAGCATTGGTACCCAGACATTCGTGCCATGGGATACTGTAGAACAGCGTTACAAAGATATCTGGTGGGGGAGAGACTGGATGTGCTGCTGCAGTTGGATGAATGGTTTGGCGACAAGGGACCATGGATCGTGCTTCAGGTCGGCATTGGGCCTGAATCGTGGATATGAGATGAAGATGGTCGGGGAACATCTGGATCTCCTGCTTCTGCTGGATGAATGGTTTGGAGACAAGAGGTCGCGGATCGTACTCAGGCGAGCGCTGGTACCAGACATTCGTACTAGGCGTACTAGAGAACAGAATTATGAAGATAGGTGGCGTGGAGAGAGAGCTTGGAACTTCTGCTGCTGCTGCTTCTGGATGAAAACTTCGGCAGTATGACCCGGAACCAACAGGAATTAGTATATATAATTTAATGGTGATCAATGTAGCAAGTCAGGATGGCCGAGTTGGTCTAAGGCGCCAGTTTCAGGTACGGTCGAAAGGGCATGGGTTCGAATCCCATTCCTGACATTTTCTACCCCGAACAACATGCCAGTTGTTGAATGTGATGGTTTGGTATCTCCTTATCTCGAAGTTGATGCATAGTCTTTGGCTGCCCTAATCCGTGGATGGTTTCCGATCAAGCATACTTTCTGCCACCCAAGGTCCCACCGTCTGAATCGTACCTCCCGTAGTTCGTCAGCCACCAGAAGCGTGTTACTGGTAACCAGAGAAGCTCTGATCTACGTGCTACCTGTGAACGGAATGTGAAAGAATAAGTGGTGGGATGAGGTGGGGTGGGATGAGGTGGGTGGGGTGGGTGGGGTGGAGATTGGATCTGCTGTTGCTAGAAGAATGGCCCCCGAAAATGACCAGCGATTGTGCCTCGGGTGAGCATTGCTGACCAAATCTGTATTATGGGTAGGACGGACGGAGCCAGGAAGAAGACTAGGTGGGTGGGGGGGAGCTTGGCTGCTGTTGCTGGAAGAATGGCCCCAGACAAAGGACCAAGGATTGTTGCTGGATTGAATCTTGCCTCGCATCAAAGCATCCTCCTGGAGCAGCTTGGATCTGTTGTACTAGAGAATGGCTATGCCAAAGGACAAGGGACCAATGATTTTGCCACATGTGAGCTTTGGTACCTAGACATTCGTTGTCATGGGATACTAGAGAAAGAAACATGGAAGACTAGGTGGTGAGGCAGAGCTTGGATATGCTGTTGCTGGAAGAATGGCTCCGTCGGGACAAGGGACCAAGGATTGTGCCGCACATGAGCATAGTACCCAGACATTCGTGTCACGTGATGCTAGAGAAAGGAATTAGAAAGACTAGGTGGTGGGGCGGAGCTTGGATCTGCTGTTGCTCGAAGAATGGCTTCCACCGGAATCCGTGACCAAGGATTGCGCATTAGGCGATCACTGCCAACCAGGTGTGTGCTACGGTTGGAGGGAAAGGAAACAAGAAGAAGACTAGGTGGTGGTGGGGAGCTTGGATCTGCTGTTGCTATGTGAATAGCTTACGAGACCAAGGATTGTGCCTCAAGTGGTTACTGCAGACCAAATCTTGGTACGGCATGAGGGAAAGGAGTCAGGAAGAAGACTAGGTGTGGGGGGAGCCTGAATCTGCTGTTGCTGGATGAGTGGCCTAGGGACAAGGAGCAAAGCATTGTGCTCAGGCATGTCAATTCTTGCAAAGAACTCATGATGGCAAAACACTTTGTTGTCTCTTAAACCCTCTCTTCGAATGCATACACTCTCGCCTTACAAGTGTCCTCTGTTATAAAAGCACGTGGGGACACCATAATGGCGGACATGCTACTCTACCATGTCCAGATGTATGAGACGAGCTACTCGTTCTGCACGGGTCGTCGTCACTCAAGTTTTTGCTCTTTTTTTCTTTTGCTCTCAAGTGATCGACAGTATGAGTGACAATGACATCATGTTGGCAGGCTACTCTACTTTGCCTCAGCACTTCCTCTAATATTCCTCCCATTCCTCTTTCCCTCCCTAAACCCCTCACATGTCGTATCATCGCCATGTCTCGGTACCAACGTCGGTAGAAACGAGGAGGAAACTAGCGGGAGGCATGAGAGGCTGCAGAAGCACTAACAGAGGTAGCAGCAGTGGCCTGATCGGCGGTTTGGCAGCGGCGGCTATTAGCAAGTGGACGGCAGCAGTACCGAGAGACAGAAAGGCTGCAGTGGTGACTATCTGGCGGCGGGCTGGTGGCGAGCTGGCACAGTGGAAGTGAGCTAGCGAGCTGACGTGCTGGCGAGCTGGCAGCTGCGGGCAGGGACGTGCGCGCTGTTGGCGGCGAGCTGGCAAGCGAGTTAGCGAGCGAAGAGGCTGGAGAGCTGACGAGTGGGTTGTCTGGCAAGCTGGCGGGGTGCTGCTGGCGACTAGCTGGTAGGCGCTGCTAGCGGCGGGAGAGCAGGCACTGCTGGCGGCGAGCTGGCAAGCGCTCTGGCGGCTAGCTAGCAAGCGTTGGCTAGCTGGCTGCGAGTGGGACAGCAGTAGTGAGCTGCAGGCGGTAGGCTAGGAGTGGCTAGGAGGAGTGGGGAGAAATCGAGGAGGAAGTACGCGCGAGAGGAGCTACTAGGAGAAGCACGCCGAGGAGCAAGCTAGGAGTCACTAGGACTGGCGGTACAGGGTGAATGATAGTCCTTAGGGCACGGGGGGGACTCACGAGGCTGGCAACCGACTGGCGGACCGATGGCTGGTAGCCGACTGCAGGCTGGCGGCTGACGGCTGGGGGTCAGAGGCTGGTCGCCGGTGGCAGCTGGAGCCGGCGATCGGCTGCTGGCAGCTGGCGACTGGTGCTGGAGGCTGGTGGCCGGCCACTGGAGGCCGAAGGTGCGGTTGGTAATGGCAGTGGCGACAGTAGCGGCAGTGGTGGCTGCAGAGGCAGTGGCGGCAGCGGCCGCTGTAGTGCAGTGGCGGTAGCGGCAACTGCAAGGGCAGCGGCGGTAGTGGTGGCTGCAACGGCAGCGGCGGCAGCGGCAGCTGCAAGGGTAGCTGTGGCAGTGGCGTAGCGGTCAGCAACGGTAGCGGCTGCAGTAGCGGCAGCAAGCGGCAGCAGGCATAGTGGTTGTGGCAGGGGCTGTAGTAGTGGCGGCTTTGGTGACAGCTAGGAATACTACGTGGTGGCGGGCGGCAACAGAAGGCACTAGCAGCAGCGGGCGGCAGCGGGCGGCAGCGGGCATTAGTAGCCGCGGCAGTAGCAGCGGTAGCTGCAGTGGCAGTGGGCGGTAGCAGCCAGCGCTGGCAGCTGGCTGCTGGCAGTGTGCTGCTGGAGGCTGGTGGGCTGGCGCTGGCTGCTGGCTGGCTGGAGCTGGCACCGAGCAGCTGGCGCTGGTGGCGCTAGTGAGCCAGCGAACTAGCGAGCTGGCTGTAGCTGGCGAGCTGGCTATAGCTGGCGAGCTGGCTGGAGCCAGCTGCTGGGGTTGGCGAGCTGGCGCTGGCAAGCTGACACTGGCGAGCGGGGCCGAGCTGGATGGCGCTGGGCGACCTGACGCTAGCGAGCTGGCTGGCGTTGGGCTACAAGGTGTTGGATAGCTTGACGCGGGCACTAGCTAGTGCTGGCGAGCTGGCTGGCGGCTGCTGGCGGCTGCTGGCTAGCGAGCCAGCTGGTGTGCTCGCTGACAGCTGCTGGCTGGTGATGCAGAGTTTTCTTCTATAACGGGAGATTTTGGGGGAAGTGTCTGGTGCAGGTATTGGAGCTGCACTAGCTCTGCAGTCCTCTAAAGAGAAGTTTGCCTCCAGATTGTGTGTCTATCAGTGTAGCTTGACAAAGCTTGCATACACACAAAATTCACTAGAATCAAGATTGGACATGGTACAACAAGGGCAAGACCTAATGCTAGTTCAATGAACCATGCGAGAACGTTCTCTGCCAAACGTTGTCACAATATCGCGTTAGCACCCTACAGCATAACGTTCTCTTAACTGTCTCCTATTTTGCTCATGTCCCCAATTATGACCATGTGCACCAGGTTTATCTCGCAGATAGGTTCGGTTCACCAAGGTTCAGGTTAGTTTCCCTTTCTGCCGTAGAGAGAAGTTGTGCCCTTCTACGAAGTCGCATAGTAGGCGTGCCCTTTGAAATCAATGGTAGGCGACTCAGTTTCTAACAGAGGGTTGCTCGAAGGGCCCGTAGGATTAGTTAGAAAGTGAAAAAGGGCTAGCGAGAGCCCTGGAGACAACACATCTACAATTGCTGAATCTGTTCTTTCATAACAGTAGAGACAAGGGTTGTAGGAACTAGCTTTGAGGAGAAAAGAATGATTTGAGTAGGGAGCCAAGAGTCTCTATTGTACAAACAAGGAGCAAGGAAGAGTTGGAAGGGAAGCTCTCCTATTTATCATAAAGTGGACCAATGGGAGAGGTTGCTTGGAGAGCAAGCAACCACAAAGTGTTGTGCTCTCCGATTGGTCACAATAAGGACCAATGGGAGAGGTTGCTTGGAAGGCAAGCAACCACAAAGTGTGGTGCTTAGTGATTGGTTGGTTTTTAGGACCATTTGGTTGGAATAGTGCCAACCAAATGTCTAGGACCAAATCCAACCTTGACCAACCCAAATGTGGGATTGGTCAACCCAACCAACAACCCCCCAATAAAGATAATGACTACACCTCCTATTATATGCATGCATATTGTATAATCATATACACACAGATGTGTATATATATATATATATATAAATATACACAACACAACCCCCTAACATGCATAAGACTAGATGCCGTGAATCAGGAGGTGGACGAGGGAACGGGGGGAGCGAGGCCAAGAAGGCGAAGGAGGGAGGAGTGGGCGGCGTGGGGGAGGGCTTTGGTGAATATGTTGGCAGGATTGGCAGCAGAGTCAATCTTGCCCAGCTGGAGGTGGCCACTCTGCACGAGCTCGCGAATAAAGTTATGACGAAGCTCAATGTGCTTGGAGCGCCTATGGAACACAGCTTCCTTCATGAGGTGGATGGTGCTGGCATTGTCGCACCAGATGGTGTGACAACGCTGAAGGGCACCGAGCTCCTCAAGAAGGAATGTGAGCCAGCAAGCCTCCTGTGCAGCCATGGTAGCGTCATACAGCTCTGCTGCACAGGAGGAGAGGGCAATGGAGGAGGAGCGGGTGGAGCGCCAACTGATAAGGCCGCTCCCAACAAGAAGAGGGGTTACCTGAGGGCTGCTTCGAGCCATAACGAACCGCTCCAGGACTTGCTGCAGGTAGTGGCCCTGGGAGAGGGAGATGGTGCGAGCTGCACAGTCGCGAGTAATCTCCATGCCAAGATAGTGCTGCAGCTCCCCCAGATCCTTACACTTGAGCCAGCTGCCAAGTTCACGCTTGACGCACTCGAGCTTGTTGAGTCAGCAGTGATGAGGATCACATTGTCGACATAGACGAGGATGTAAAAGGGGGAGGGGGAGGTGCGGAGGAAGAGACTGGGGTCAACGCGGGAGGTGCTGAAGCCCAGCTCAGCGAGGGTGGCAGCAAGCTTGGCATGCCACTCCCTTGGTGCCTGCTTGAGCCCATACACTGGCCGCCAGACAGAGTCGGAAGGAAAGGGAAGGAGGAAGCCTGCAGGACACTCCATGTAAATGAGCTCGCGCAAGATGCCATGGAGGAAGGCGTCGGAGACGTCCATGGAGTGAATCACCATCTTGAGGCGAGCTGCGAGGTCGAGCACTGCGCGGATGGTAGCGGACTTGGCGGTGGGAGAGAAGGTGTCGAAGAAGTCGACAGCATAGCACTGGGTGAAGCCCTTGGCGACGTTGTGGGCCTCGTAGAACGGCGGCTCGCCAGCCAGCTGCTTCACCCGAAACACCCACTTCCCTTTTACCACGTTTGTGGTAGAGGGAGGGCGAGGCACATCCACAAAGGAGGAGTCGACAATTAACGCCTCCAACTCCTTGAGGATGGCTGCGAGCCAGAGGTGGGCGTTAGGGCATGCCATGGCCTCCTCGTACGTGGCGGGGGCAAAGATGGTGGGGGCAGAGGAGAAGGCGAAGATTGGTGTGCCGCTGAGGTCAGGAGAGATGGGTAGGAGGGCTGGATCATGCAGGTGGAGGTTGAGGAACTCCTCATGGGAGTTCTCGAGGAGGGAGGAGTGGAAAATGAACGGAAGGACTGCTGCTGCTGCTGCTGAGACGGTTGCTACTGCTGCATCTGCTGCTGCCGCTATTGCTGCTGCAGGTGAGGGTGAGGAAGGAGCGACGGCTGCTGCTGCTGGTGCTGCTGCGGTGGGTAGGTCTGCTGCTGCAGCTACTGCTGTTGGGACTGCTGCACTGGGCTCGACGGCAGGGTTGGGCTAGTGTTTTTCTGTAAGACAGCCTGAAAGAGGAGGTCCATGAGAGTGGAGAGAGGAGGCAAGGTAGAGGGAGAGAGGGTAACAGGAGACGGGGCACCTAAGACTGCATCACGTGACCTGGTGTGGGGATACCGGGTGAGGATGGAGCGGGTGGGGCGCAGGGGGGGAGGGGGACGCAGGGGGGGGGGGGAGGAGGGGAGGGGGGAGGACGGGATGGGGCAGAAGCGGAGGAGTGGGACAGGGAGGTGGGGGGGAAGAGAGGGTCGGGGTCAAATATGTCACCAGAGGAGGGGAAGCGTTGGGGACCGAGGCAACGGGGAGTGGCGGAGGTGTAGCGGGTGGGAGGATGGGAGGGGCGGGGGGAGAAGAGGGGGTGGGATAGTGTCGGACTAGGTGAGGGGCCTGGGAGCACGGGCAAGAGGGCCAGTGGGGGGAGGAGTGAAATAGTAGGGTGTGGACTCATTAAAGACCACATCTTGACTGCGGAGGAAGCGATTTGAGGGGGGGTGAAGGAAGAGGTAGTCCGGGGAGGAGGGGTTATGACCAAGGACGATGCAGGGGAGGGTATGGGAGGCGAGCTTTCCCATGGTGCGGGGGTGGTTTGCAGGGTGAATGAAGACATACACCCTGGAGCCCCACACACGGAGGGAGGAGACGCCCGGCTTGGTAGACGTCCATAGCTCGGTGGGAGTGGTGGAGGGAAGGATGGGGTGGGGGTACATGTTAGTAAGGAGGGTGGCGTGAAGGAGGGCATAGCCCCACAGAGAAGAGGGGCAAGAGGCATGGACGAGGAGACACCGAGCAATCTTGGTGATCTCCCAAACACGGCTCTCGGCCACACTGTTCTGCTGGGGGGAGTGGGGGGGGTGTGAGTCTAGCGAATGCCATGAAGCTCACAGTAGGAGGCTACCTGGGGGTGAAGGAATTCGCCACCACTGTCATAGTGAAGGCGACGCACAGGGCGGCCAAAATGGGTATTCGCCTGCCTGAGCCATGCGATGATCGCAGCCGGAGCGTCATCCTTCGGGCGAAGAAGGGAGATAGAAGAATATCGGTTGTGATCATTGACCAGAACAAGCATGTAGCGATGGCCCTATTGGGAAGGAGAGGGGCTGGGACCCCAGAGGTCCATGTGAACAAGATCAAGCAGCTGAGCGGCAGCGGAGGGGGAACTCTGATGCGAGAGCTGCTTGAGCTTGCTCTGGACAGAGACGCAGCAAGGAGGGGCAGGGGAGGGAGGGAGGGGAGGGAGGGTGAGAGGAAAACCTTGAAGGAGGCCTGATGAGACGGTCAAGCGGAGGGTGGCAAAGTTGGGGTGACCAAGACTGTGGTGGAGGAGGACGGTGGGATGGGAGAGGGACCGGCAGGAGCAGGTTGGGTCAGGGGGAAAGGGTAGAATGGTTGGGTTAGAAGAAGGGAGAGGAGGGGGAGGGATGTGAGGGGGGGGGGAGGGAGCGGGAGACTGCCTGGGCAAAGGGAAGACGAGGAACCTTAAGGGTATGTAGGCGGGAGCAAGGACAAAAGGGAATACGGGAGAGGTGGTGACCTGGGAAGACGGTGGTGATACCGGCCTGCTGCAGGGATCGCTGGGAGAGGAGGTTAGTACGGAGGGAGAAGATGTGTAAACCAATGACGGTACTTGAGTGGAAGAGGGGACAGGGGAGGGTAGAGGTGTGGAGACAGGGAATAGAGCTAGAATCAGCACCAAGGAGAGAGGTGGGGGCGGGGAGAGGGTGAAGGGTACCAGCATTACGAAGGACTGTTACTGTGGCTCCACTGTTGTCACAGGATCGAATGTGTCGAGGAAATGTTGCATTATCAATTGATACAAGGCGCTTTTATACTTCCATTGTACATCAGGTAACCAGGTCTATCCTATCCCAAGGGAATAGACCCTTCTAGAAAATAGAATCACCCTGTGTATAGCCATGCGAGGCTATTGGCTATGGGGGATTACGGCAGGATTACGCTAGAGATAGCGTGCCAGTACATCCCGAGCCTGGTCGGTGATATAATGATAATAACAGGATAAACCAAAGGTTTATGGAAAAGGAGGAATAGGAATCCAAATGGAATGAGATAAAGACAAAATGAATCAGGATAAAAAGAGGAATGAAATGGAAAGGAGAAAGGAATGGAACGGGGTTGTACTCTCACACTTCCCCCCCTCAAAGCTGGGTGGTAGACGTAACACCCTGCTTGACAAGGTAGTCACGAAGAGGACGACAAGCGTGATCCATCTCGGAGTCAGAGACCCAGATATCCTCTGAAGGATCATAACCCTTCCAACGGATGAGAAGCTCCACGTTGCCATTCCGTCGACGACGGTGAGCAAGCACGGACTCGACCTTGTACTCGGGTTTATCATGGACGAGGATGGGCGGCGGCGGCGTCGGCGGTTGGCGTCTAGAGAAGACTGTGTTGGGATCGTGATAGGGCTTCAGGAGCTGGACATGGAAGGCGTTGTGAATCTTCTATGTAGCTGGCAGGCGTAAGTGGAAGGTAACAGGAGTGACCTGTGCTTCAACGAGAAAAGGCCCGTAGAAGCAAGGTCGCAGTTTGGATGGGAGATGGCTGATGTCAAGATTGCGCGTGTCGAGCAGTACTCGGTCTCCCACGGTGATGGTGTGGTCCGTGCGGTGATGATCGGCCTGACGCTTCTGTTGTTGCTGAATGTCGAGAAGGCGCTTGTGGGTCTGATCCCAAAGTTTGTGCATGGTCGTGATGAAATCATGAGCGGGTTGGACTGTGGCTGGTATGTTTGGCTGTTGAGGTGTGAGTGGGTGGCGTCCGAAACAGAGGAAGAACAGCGTCTGTCCAGTAGCGGCGTGAGTAGCATTGTTGTAGGCAAACTCCAGGACGGGCAGATGCAAGTCCCACTTGGAGATTTCGTCCTTGCAGGCTGCGCGGAAGAGTTGCTCCACAATTTGGTAAAGACGCTCGGTCTGTCCGTCTGTCTGCAGATGGTATGCGGATGACATGGCGAGTTTGGTTCCGAGTAGAGACATCAGTTCTTTCCTGAATTTACTAGTGAACTTAGGGTTTCGGTCGGAGATGAGTGTGGTTGGAATGCCATGTTGTGAAATGATGTAGCGAACAAAGAGTTGTGCTGTCTCCTCGGTGCATGCTGTGGTGTGTATCGGGATAAAGTGTCCCATTTTGGAGAACTTGTCAATGACGACGAGGATCGTGTCATGACCGCTTGTGGTAGTTGGTAGCCCGGTGATGAAGTCTAGGCTGACCACTTGCCATGGCTGTTCTGGGACAGGAAGAGGCTGTAGCAGACCCATCTTTTTCTACTTGCTGCTCTTCATCCGCTGACATGTAGTGCACGAGGTGACGAATTTCTGTACGTCATCTGCCATGTGGGGCCAGTAGTAGTGTTTGGCGATACCGGTGAGCGCCTTGTTGCTACCGAAGTGTCCTGCGTATAGGACGTGGTGGTATTCTTCGAGTAGTAACTGGCGCAATGGAGGGTAATTAGGTACCCAGATCTTCGTTGATCCTTTCTGGTACGCGATGTCGTTGTCCCACTATAGCAGATGTTGCTTTTCTGCCAAGGGAATTCCGGGGTCGATGGTGTACCCGTATGTGAAGAGTCCCTTGAGGAGTGGATTCATCCCTTCAATTTGGATAGCGGCAACATGTGCAGGCCGGCTAAGCGCATCTGCTTTGTTTTTATGGCCAGGCTTGTACACGATGTCGTAGTGGAAGTGCGTCTCGAGGAAGTCGATCCACCGAACCTGTCGCTTGGAGAGGCTTGGTTGTGGCTTTAAATATTTTAGGCTGCAATGGTTGGTATAGACTGTTGTTTTACGTCCTTCGAGATAACATCTCCACGTTTTGAAGGCGATGATGATAGCCAGGGCCTTCTTGTCGTGTATCGGGTAGTTGAGTTCTGCCCCGTGTAATTTTTTGCTGAGGTAGGCAATTGGTTGCAGTCCATTCCCGTGGTCTTGCATCAGGACTGCTCCCACTGCCTGGTCGCTGGCGTCAGCTTCGATGATGTAGTCACGTTCGGGGTCTGGCAAGATGAGTACGGGTGCGGACGTGAGTGCTTGTTTCAGCTGTTCCATGGCTTTTTGATGTCTTGGTTCCCAGTTATAGGGCGTGTTCTTCTTCAGCAGATTCGTGAGTGGCGTTGCGATCTTCGCGTATTGTGGCACGAACCTGTTGTAGTAGTTAGCGAAGCCTAGGAATTGCTGTAACTCCTTTATGTTCTCAGGTGTTTTCCACGTACGCACGGCTTTGATTTTCTTGGGGTCGACATGAACTCCTTGAGCGCTTATGATATGTCCGAGGAATTGAACTTTCTCGAGGGCGAAGTCGCTCTTGGATAGTTTGACGTAGAAGCGTTCTCGTCAAAGAATCTTGAAGACGCGTCGTAGGTGTTTGACGTGTTGTTGCATGTCGCGCGAGTAGACGAGGATGTCTTCTAATTACACCACCACGCATTCATCCAAGAGTCGGCGTAGGATGTGGTTCATCTCTGCTTGGAACGTTGCAGGTGCATTGGTGAGTCCGAACGGCATTACCAGATACTCGTACGATCCGTACCGAGTTCGGAAGGCAGTTTTGTGAACAGAATTGTCCGCCATTCGTATCTGCCAGTATCCGGACCGCAGATCTAGTTTTGAAAATACCGTGGCTCCCTGAAGCTGGTCAAGCAGATCATCGATTCGTGGAATCGGGTACTTGTTCTTGATGGTCTGCTTGTTGAGAGCCCGGTAATCGATGCACATGCGCAGGCTTCCGTCCGGTTTCGATGTGAAGAGTACCAGGGCACCGTACGGTGAAGTGGATGGTCGGATGAGTCCTTTGGTGAGGAGATACTCGATCTGTTTCTTCATGTCGGCTAGTTCTGTGGGGCTTAGCCGATATGGTGCTCGGAAGGTCGGTTTCAAACCTGGTTCCTCCACGATCTCATGTTGGTGCGTTCGGTATCGCGGTAGCTCGTCGGGGAGGTCGTCGGGAAGAATGTATTGGAACTCCTTCAATATTTTCTTGATTTCTCTTGGAGGTTCTGAGGTCTTCTCCTCGTCCCTTTCCACGTCTGTTGCTAACACCAAGAACCCAGTGTTGGTTTGTTTCACGTCCTTCTCGAACCTGGCGAATGTCTCTACTGGGATATCTCGTGTATCGTCCCAGTTGGCTAGCTGGACTCTCCTTGCTTTGTTGTAGATGCTTGCGGTGCGGTTTACCCAGTTGATCTCGAGGTTGAATTTCTTGAGGAAGTCTCGCCCGAAGATCAGGTCAAGCCCTTTTATGTTGGTGATGGGGAGAGCAGGTTTCCAACGCAGTGGCCCGATTTGTAGGTGTAGCACTGCTTCGCCGTACACCGGTAACTTGCTGCCATCCGCTATCATTGCAGAAAACGCTGATGGCTTGCACTCGTCTCGAAGTCAGTCGATGGTTGCCTTGTTGCATACGGTGTGCGATGCTCCGCTGTCCACGAGTGCTTGGAGGCGTCGTCCTTTGCAGATGACCTCGAGCACGAGGGGCAGGCGTTGCTCGGATTACCCAAAGATAGTTTCATTGATTGGGTCATAGGGTACATCCCAGTATTCGTTGCTTCCTACTCCTGAGCTGGTAGCTGGCCTAGGCTGCTTGGAGAAAGGCTCTTCTCCAAGGCCCAGAGTTTCCGTGACGACTGTTCGTGTCGTTGACAAATTTGCCGAGTTGGATACATCCGAAGGAGGAGTTTGGGGTTTTGTAGCTTCCTGTAGACCCCCAGCTTCCTCTTGAGCTGCTTCAACTCCACCGAAGTCTTCCCAGGGGAACGGGTAGTCGCTGTGGGCTGGTGTCGGGAGAGGACGTTGACTCCGTGGAAAGGTCAACTTCTTTCCACACTCCTTCATTTGGTCCCCAAGTACTCCGGTACCGGTATGATCTCCACAATTTTCTGCTTGTTCTGGAGTCCCTCCCGAAATTTCTCCAAGGCTCTAGCCTCTCGAGAATTACAAGTTTTCATTAAAGCATCTTTATAAGATAACTTTAATGAATCCTTATAATTTCTTGGGTCTTCAAGGAGTTTCCCCGTCTTGGCAAAGTCCTTTTTCGCGGAGTTAGATTTTTCCTCGACGATTTCCCCTGGCAAAGACTGGTCGTGGGGTGGAGATTTTTCCCCATCATTTTCTCCTGTTTGTGTCGAATCAGCTGCGTCGAAGTTGATTTTTCCGGAAGTCCGTGGCCGCTTTCAGATCTTTTCTTTTTCGCCAGCTAGATCCACAATTACTGGCGAGTCCCGTTTTTGTCTTCTGATTGACCGAAGGATTTCCGCCACTGTTGCGTGCCCGATACTCAGCGCGTGCGGCTTTCATTTTGTTGCACTCGAAGATTCGATGACCCGGCACCCCGCAAAAATCACACATGAAGTTGGTGTTTTTCGGACATGGCCGCTCGTCGAACCTGTCGACTTCTATCGGGTCGGCGAACGTGGTGTGAGCCGAGCGGTCGCCCTGTCGCGTACTGCCGACGTGCACCCGTCGTGTTCAGGTGTTGACCATGTCAAACCGCTCCGCTGCCGATACAACGTCACTGTAGCTCGCGTAATTTGTCGCTGCTACCTGTCGTTTGACTTCGATCTTCAGCTCGGCGAGATACGACTATACTTTTTCCCCTTCGGTCAGATCGGGAATGTGGTTATAAAATTCCTCCATCTGCTGCGTGTACTGCGCTATACTCCCGAACTGTCGATGGCGATGAATTTTTTCTCGGGCAAGGAAACCCGAATTTATCGGCTCGAAACGTTTCAGCAGGTCGGTGCGGAACTGCTGCTACGTGGCTTCGCCCTGGATGAAGGTGTTGTTACCGCCAATCCACTCGAGTGCCGGTCCTCGCATCAGTGTCGCCGCGAGTCGTACGCGTTGACTGTCCCAGACTGGCGAGCTCCATACGACGGCTGCGAAGTAGATCTCCATGCCGGCAATCCATCTGCGGACGTCGGAATTTCGATCGCTCGGATCGAACGGCTCAGATGGGCGCGGCTTTGGAGCCTCGAGAAACTGCTGCGACTGCCGCGTCGTCACCGTTGTCGTTTCGTGTTGCGCGCTGGCGAGCCGAGTTACTCGCTCGAACTCTTGTCACCAAGCGTCGCGGTTGGCTCGCATCTCCTCCTATAGGGCGGCGATGCTTGCGAAGAGCTGCTGGGTAACTTCGGCGTTGTCGAAGTTTGCCATCCTGTTCAAAACACGTGCGGAGGGGGTAATTCGGAAAAACGTGGAGCTGGTGCTTACCAGAATCTGTGTCGAATTGGTCGCCCCTGGCGGTTTTTCGGGGCAGGAGTCCCGCTGCTGCTGCTTAGCTGAGTGCGGCCGAGTGAGAAAAGCTCTGATTACCAAGTGTCACTGGATCGAATGTGTCGAGGAAATGTTGCATTATCGATTGATACAAGGCGCCTTTATACTTCCAGAGTACATCAGGTAACCAGGTCTATCATATCCCAAGGGAATAGACCCTTCTAGAAAATAGAATCACCCTGCGTATAGCCACTCGAGGCTATTGGCTTTAAGGGATTACGGCAGGATTACGCTAGATATAGCGCGCCAGTACATCCCGAGCCTGGTCGGTGATATAATGATAATAACAGGATAAACCAAAGGTTTATGGAAAAGGAGGAATAGGAATCCAAATGGAATGAGATAAAGACCAAATGAATCAGGATAAAAAGAGGAATGAAATGGAAAGGGAATATGGAAAGGAGAAAGGAATGGAACGGGGTCGTACTCTCATAACTGTCAAGGACAAAGTCCAATGTGGTGGAAGGGGGAGGATGTAAGGAAGGAGGTGGGACGGAGTACTGAATCACATTCTCATTAATAGCAGCCGAATACATAGAAGGGACAGGGGTTCCAACCTGACTAACCATGCCAACAAAACCAGTGGCCTGTGGCGGAGGACGCAGGAGACGCGCCGGAGAGATGAGCTGCCGGCGGTCCAGGCGGGATAGGGCTGCTATGGGGGAGCCATAGGAGGGGGTGCAAGGGGGAGCTGCGACTGGAGGTCAAGCTGCTGCTGGAGCTGCTGGAGCTACTGCTGCTGCAACTGGGTGAGGAGGTACTGCTGCCTCTGCTGCTGCTGCTGCTGTTGGAACTACTGCTGCTGCTGCTACGGCTGAAACTGCTGCTGCTGAGTCTGCTACGGAGTCTGCTGCTACTGCTGCTGCTGAGAGATGGCCTGGTGGGCTAAGGGGGAGGAGCCGGGTTGGTAGAGAGGGAAGTACAAACCTCCTGAGGAGTGGGGCGAGGAGAGAGGGAGGACCAGCGAGGGGGGGTGCCGGAATTGCCGCGTGTGGGGCCATAGAGAGGGAGACACTGACAAGGAGGAAAGGCGGCTGCTGCACCACGTCCTGCGCCACTAACACCACGACCACCACCACGACCAGCGCTACGCCCACCCCCACGCCCTCCCCTGCTGTTGCGCTGGTGAGTAACCATGGCGGTGGAGGAGGAATGGCACAAGAGGTTGGCCTCAGTGGTGATGATCCACTGGGCGGCCTCAGCCGGGATAATGCGCTTTCGATCAGCTGCATGTAGGCGATCTTGTGGGTGTCGAAGGCAGGATTCAAGCCTTCAAGGAGGTGGCAGCAAAGCACAGGGATTGGGTATGGCACACCAAGAGCTGCCAGATGACGAGCGAGGTCGAGGGCGTGACGCGTGAAGGCAACTGCGCCGGTGGTAGAGTCCTTGGTGAGGCTCTGAAACTTCTTGATGGGGGAGTAGAGGGCTGGCGACGTCCTGCCAATCATAGAGATTGGTGAGGAGCCGCCGGAGGTGGGAGGAGGAGGTGGGAGCAAGCTCCCGCTTGAGCGTGGGAGGAATGGTGGCGAGGAGGATGGTGAGCGCGCGCCGAGCAGCGACACACAAGGCGGCGATGTCGGTGATGTATGTGGCCTCAAGCCTGGCGTACTCCGTGAGCGTTGCCTAGTACATGTCGTAGGCGACAATGGCGATGGCATGCTCGGCGCGGGAAGCCTCGTAGATCAGCTACGGGCGGACATGGTTGGTGAGGCCGGCGCGGTAGGTGCGGATGGCAGTCATCAAGCTCTGAGGGTCGTTCACGTCATGGGCGAAGGTTGGAGGGCCGGAGCTGACAGGAGCATCACCAGGAGGAGGAGGTGCAGGGCACGCGGGAGCATCCTGCTGGGCAGGCTGAAGACCGCGCTCCTCGAGATGGACAACGGCTTTCGGATTGTAGCCGTTGACCATCACCGAGGAGAGAAGCATCGTGACCGTTTGGGCATAGGAATGCCAATTGGCCGCGGTGTTTTCGGGCAGCGGCTCGAGAGTGTCCACGGAGGTGAGATCCGCCGAGGAATCGGACGCCATTTAGGTGGGGGGGGAAGAAAGGGGAAGACAAGGAAAAGGAAAGGAGGGGGGAGGAGGAGGAAAAGCAGGAGGAGGGGGGGGGAGGAGGAGGAGGAGGGGGAGGAGGAGGAGGAGGAGGAGGAGGGAGGAAATGGGTAGGTGCACGAAGCGCAGCTCTTAAGTCGCCGAAGGCGAGACGAGCTGCGCAACGCGCTCCAAGGGGGGATGCGACGACGAGCAGCAAGACGGGAGGGCGCGACGAACGGTTGCGCGCGACGGCAAAAGCGGCAACAAACTGCCACACACAACAGTGGAAATGGCGACGGACGGCCGCGCGTGACGGCGGAAGCGGCGACGAACGTCCGCGCGTGACGGCGGAAGCGGCAACGAACGGCCGCGCGCGAAGGCGAAGGGTGCATATCGGGAGGGCACGGTGACAGGCCGTGCAAGGAGGAATCGACGGGCGGAAAGGTGTCGACAAGTGCGGCAGGAGGTGCGCGACGGAAGGGGGAGCAGGCGCAATAGAAGGCGCGCGACGGGAGAGCGCGACAGGAGAGCGCGGCGGGAGAGGGCGCACGGACGGCGCGGTGTGTAGCCTAAGCAATGGCTAGGCTTCGAGGACGAGGAGGGACGGCTTAGGGCCGTGCTAGTTAGGATCGACTAGAGGTGGCGTGAGCCATTGTGGCTCTGATTACCATGAAGGAACTAGCTTTGAGGAGAAATGAATGAATTGAGTAGGGAGCCAAGAGGCTCTATTGTACAAACAAAGAGCCAAGAAGAGTTGGAAGGGAAGCTCTCCTATTGGCTATAAAGTGGACCAATGGGAGAGGTTGCTTGGAGAGCAAGCAACCACAAAGTGTGGTGATCTCCGATTGGTCAGAATGTGGACCAATGGGAGAGGTTGCTTGGAAGGCAAGCAACCACAAAGTGTGGTGCTTCGTGATTGGTTGGTTCTTAGGACCATTTGGTTGGAATAGTGCCAATCAAATATCTAGGACCAACCCAAATGTGGGGTTGGTCAAACCAACCAACAACCCCCCAATAAAGATAATGACTACACCTCCTAATCTAGGCATGCATATTGTATATATATACATATTGTACAACAACGGTAGCACAAGGTCTTGTAGCGTAGGGTAGCCTACTTTTTTTGTTTTAGAGACACTTATGTTTTCTCAGCAAGCCTCTAGATACTATAGGATTCAAAGTACTCTTTCTCATAAGGGTAATAGACTGCTGCCACTTTTTCTGCTAAGGTAGAATTTGGAGCTACTTTTTAATATAAGGATCCTCAAAAGCATGACTTTTTTCAAAAGGGTGTAACTCAATGGCAGCCTTACACTATCGGGGCAGCATCCCGCATGGGGGGGCTTGAGGGCGCGTTTACCCTTTGGCACAAGTTTGGCAATTTGGCGCACCAGGGGTTTGTGTATGCGATATTACTACATTGAACGACCCCAACCAGACGACTGGACCTGGTCACAACCTTTGTTGTGACATTCAAAGTGTGGCTCCATGTGCAGTTCCAGGGCAAAGAGCTCGCCCGTTAAATCACAAGGTTGCACGATCGGAGCTTGTGCTCGCCGGCGCCCACACCATTGGTTGTGAAGTGGGCAGTGTAACCATTCTCTGGTGGGACAAACAGTTGTTTGTGCAGTTTTGTCATGTTGATGAACCGACGTGACGACGCACCCTAGGCCTCTCTGCGGTCTCGACAGTGTGCACCAAAATTGTTGTTCGCCAGCCGCCGAGGTGCGTAGGGGGAGGGGAGAATTGCAGGGCGAAATGTGACGTGTCACTTGCTAGGCTTTCTTTTCGTCCCGTCATTCTAGGGCACCGGTAGCTATGTGCCCAAGCCTGATTGGACTTCCAAATTCTTTGGGTTGCGAGGAGTGTGGGAGGGTTTGTCTCTGCCAATGGGGGACTTCGTCTTATTTTTAGGGTTGCGAGGGATGCGGGAAGGAATGACTTTGGCGGTGGGAGACTTGGACACATTTGTGGGTTGCGAGGGATGTGGGAGGAATAACTCTGGGTTTGGGGAACTTAGCCAAAAAAATTAGGTTGGGAAGGGGAGCATCCATTATAGCGGGGGATCGGATGTGTTATTGTGTAAGGGTGAACTTCCACAACACTTTTCCACAGAAGGGTGCCTACACTCGAGTAGTCTTGAAAATCAGGGTCCTAAACTTTGTTACTTTTGTTTTTTCATAAGGGTGAAGAAACAAGGAACTTAGAAAAATAAGGGTCAAAGCCTTACCCCACCCTTCTTATAAGGGTCGTAAGGGTATTTTACCATTTTCTCGTGAGGCCTGTTTCTCAGTATGCCACGTATATGATGGCACCACATGGTGGACTTGCTTTGCTTGATGGCACCACATCGTGGACCTGCTTTGCTTGATGGCACCACATCGTGGACCTGCTTTGCTTGATGGCACCACATCGTGAACCTGCTTTCCTTGATGGCACCACATCGTGGACGTGCTTTGCTTGATGGCACCACATCGTGGATGTGCCTTGCTTGATGGCACCTGCTTTCCTTGATGGCACCACATCGTGGACCTGCTTTGCTTGATGGCACCACATCGTGGACCTGCTTTGCTTGATGACACCACATCGTGGACCTCTTTTGCTTGACACCATATCGTGGAGTTGCTTTGCTTGACGAAACCACATCGTGGGCCTGCTTTGTTTGACGGCACCACATCATGGACCTTTTTTTTTATTATGGTACCACATAGTGAGCTTGCTTGGTTTGATGGTACCACATAGTGAGCTTGCTTGGTTTGATGGTACCTCATGATGAGTTTGCTTTATTTGATGGTACCACATGGAGAGCCTGCTTTGTTTGATGGTACCACATGGTGAGGCTGCTTTGTTTGATGGTACCACATGGTGAGGCTGCTTTGTTTGATGGTGCCACATGGTGAGCCCTCTTTGTTTGATGGTACCATAAGGTGAGTTTTGCATGGCTGATGCAAGTCAACGTGAGTCAACAGGGAACAGTCGTAAAATGTTGGCGACAACATAACCTCAAGTGCAAGATCGCCCCCACCTGCCCCCTTTGACGGCACCACTAATGGTGGGGCATTGGGATCATCCCGCAGTTGAGTGTGGGAGGGCTATAGGTCCGTCCTGCCCCCACCTGCCCTCTTTAATGACACCACTCGGTTAGCCTTTAGACAATTGGCGGTGAGTCCAAGCTTGTAAACAAAAGTCAAGAGAAGTCAATGAAGTTTTCGAGAGGCGCATGGCGAGGCTAGGCGAGCAGCAGTGACGGCTCAGGCTAAGGTAAGATTGCTTCGATTGCAGTAGAGGCGACTTTGGAACCAAGGAGCAAAGGATCGCCTCCTCTGCTTTGTTTGATGGCACCACATGGTGAGTTTCAAAGGGGTCGAGTCAACGCAAGTCACCCAAAGTCAAGAAGGCTCACGAGCAGTGCACCTTCGTGAGCAATGCACCCTCATGAGCCGAGGCTCACGAGCAGTCTGTCATGCTCATTCCCCCCCCTCTTCTTCCTACTACTAGTTTTTAACAGTTGCCTCCCCCTCCTCTTCAATAAACCCCCCAACCCTCCTCCCCGTTTCCAACTCTTTCCCCCACCCGGTGTCTCAAGCCTGTACCATTAACTTCAAGGTGTGAGGGCTTTGGTGGGGGAGGGGAGGAGGGGGGTCAGGCGTTTGAATCTGGTCAGCAAAGGCTGTACCACTACAAGGCATGTCCCTTTGCACAACGAGTGGTGATTGCTGTTAACTACAAGGTGAGGGGGCTGTCCACCAGTTAAACTTCCGTGTCTCGATTAGAATCTCATATGCGTCTCCTTTCTTTTTGTACAACATATGACTAATCCGCTCTTTTTATGCCGCCTATCTCTCCCCATGTTAATAGAGTCTGATTTCATCTAGCGAGTGGAGATTCTGCAGCAGGTCTGAAGTGAGTGGTCGGGGAGAGCTTGGATTTTCTACTGCTGATGCTCATGCTCATGCTGCTGTTGTTGTTGTTGCTGCTGCTGCTGCTGCTGCTGCTGCTGATGTTGCTGGTGGTGTTGGTGGTTACAGCAGTGGTACCACTCGGGCCTTCCTCTCGCACTCCCCACACTCCCCTCACTCCCCACACAAACTATGACAATTACAAACACTCTTGCTTTTGCGGTTGCTGCTTCTAGATGAACGGTTACCCAAACAATTCCCTTGGCCCACTCCTCCTCCCCCTCGCTATCTATGACAGGTATACAGAGAAGGTGTACGCACCAGGCAAGGTGCCGTCACTGGAGCATGATCGCAAGGTGGTGGGGGAGAAAGCTTGGACCTGCTGCTGTTGCTGCTGGATGGCTGGTTTGGCGACAAGGGACCAAGAATTGTGCCTTAGGTAAGCACTGGCGTCCAATTATGTGCCACGGGTATGAGGACCACTCGATGTGCTTTGCCCTTGCTGTATCCGTGACTCACATGCCATGCTTGTACACCATTCTTATTTAAGGCAAGGGCAATTCAGACACAGCATGGAGGGAAGGTGGCGGGGGAGAGTCTGTATCTACCGCTGCTGGATGAGTGCTTCAGCGACAATGGGCCAAGAATCATGCCTCTGGTACGCTCTGGCAAGCAGTCACAGTGTATGGGTTGCTAGGGAAGGAAACTCGAAAGATTTTCGGGAGAGCTTGGTCCTGCTGCTGCTCTGTTGTTCTGTAAGGCAATAAGGGACCAAGGATCGTGCCCCAAGTAATCACTGGTGTCCAGTTGTGTGCTACGGGTATGAGGGAAAAGAGTCAACATAGAGCGAAGGTGGTGGGGGAAGGTCTGGATCCGCTGCTGCCACTGGATGAATGGTTCAGAGATAAAGAGGGCAAGGATCCTACCTCGGGTGAGCATTGGTACCCAGACATTCGTGCCACGCGATACTGTAGAACGGAGTTACGAAGATAGGTGGCGGGGGAGAGACTGAATCTGCTGCTGTTGCTGGATGAATGGTCCGGAGGTAAGGGAGCAAGAATAAATCTCAGGTAAGCATTGGTACCCAGACATTTGTGCCACGGGATACTGTAGAATAGAGTTACAAAGATAGGTGGTGGATCTGCTGTTCCTGCTGGGTGAATGCTTCGGAGATAAGGGAGAAGGGATCCTACCTCAGGTGAGCATTGGTACCCAGACATTCGTGCCATGGGATACTGTAGAACAGCGTTACAAAGATATCTGGTGGGGGAGAGACTGGATGTGCTGCTGCAGTTGGATGAATGGTTTGGCGACAAGGGACCATGGATCGTGCTTCAGGTCGGCATTGGGCCTGAATCGTGGATATGAGATGAAGATGGTCGGGGAACATCTGGATCTCCTGCTTCTGCTGGATGAATGGGTTTGGAGACAAGAGGTCGCGGATCGTACCTCAGGCGAGCGCTGGTACCCAGACATTCGTACTAGGCGTACTAGAGAACAGAATTATGAAGATAGGTGGCGTGGGAGAGAGAGCTTGGAACTTCTGCTGCTGCTGCTTCTGGATGAAAACTTCGGCAGTATGACCCGGAACCAACAGGAATTAGTATATATAATTTAATGGTGATCAATGTAGCAAGTCAGGATGGCCGAGTTGGTCTAAGGCGCCAGTTTCAGGTACTGGTCCGAAAGGGCATGGGTTCGAATCCCATTCCTGACATTTTCTACCCCGAACAACATGCCAGTTGTTGAATGTGATGGGTTTGGTATCTCCT